ATTTTTTATTTTTAATCAGAAAATAACCAGCAATTTTAACGGTGTTCTAATAAGAATTCATTGGTCAAATTTTCACAGAATGTTCTTTAGATAAAAATCTATATAAAAAACGAAAAAAGATATTTTTGATTGAAATTCACAAATAAACTGCATCTCTACCTTAAACAAAGATTGCAAATACAGTGCTGTGTTTTCATGATACCCTCATCCACAGTGTAACATCCAGAGTGTCCAGGAATTAAAAAATCTGCTAGTATGAGGTTTGGGTTCTGCAAATTGTAATAGCTGATTTCATTATCATGGTTAAAGAAATATATATATCAATAAGCAAAACTTTTTCATGAATGAACTTCACAGAAGCATCAAAAGCAATTGACTGGATGCCCTTCATTGGTCCTTGGTGCCAAGGTAATCTTATCAAATTTGGTCTTGAAACTGGGTGCCCGCTCAATGCTGAAATTCAAGCCCTTTTTTGCTGGGAAAGGATTGACCAGCTTTGTTGTTAGTCCAAGAAAGTTGTTCAGCTTGGAATGTGTCTGAATCCCTCATTAGTATGCAAGAATGTAGGAATGTACCAAGAAAATTGTTCAGCTTGGAATGTGTCTGAATCCCTCATTAGTATGCAAGAATGTAGGAATGTACCAAGAAAATTGTTCAGCTTGGAATGTGTCTGAATCCCTCATTAGTATGCAAGAATGTAGGAATGTACCAAGAAAATTGTTTTTCTGGAGTAAACTGTAGTGTATTTTACTTATGAAAGGTCAAAAAGTGCATGGAGATTTTATGAAAATGTGTGGATGTTAACAGAATGATGTCATGTGGTCACAGTTACGTCACCGAAGTACTCACACGTGTGCATGATTCCAATAGTTTGTGCTGTGAAGAAACTCCATTAGAAAATAAGTATTGTGTAATTTGTAGTGAGAATATATTTAAATAGATTTATGTTTATAAATCTTGTTTCTTTTCAAAGTGTATTTATATAATTTATAATTGTTTATAAAAATGTTCTTTATACTTTTTCGATGGATTGAATTTACAAATGATGAGTTATTTTGTTATACCATCACTCAAATTATGTGTTACGAATTTCTGATAGTTTAGGCTTTGTGTTCTTGCGAACGGGAAGACATTAAACTGTTGAACAGTAGACATCGATAAAAACGAATGTATTTCGAAAGTTGTGAAATCATGGTACTGTTTTGGCAT